GACATATAGTACATTAAAGGTGACGCAAATGTGGTAGCTGATTCTCTTTCAAGAGGTGACATAAACAAGCTCGAAAATTCCGAAGGCATCAGTCTCGACCGTATGGCTCAGTTCCAAAGACACGACGCTGAACGCCTAACTTGTCGCGGAAACTCTTCCTTACAGTTCAGGGACGTACATATTCCTTTATCAGACGATTTATCTACCGGCACTAATCGTCCGTTTGTTTTTCTGAGATGCCAAGAAGCGTTGTTTGAAGACTTACATTCGCTTTGTCATCCTGGAGTACGTGCTACGGTCAAACTTATCAGCGAGCGTTTCGTGTGGCCTAAAATGAACTCTGACATTCGGAGATGGGCACGGGAATGTCTCCAATGCCAATGCTCAAAAGTACATCGCCACACTGTAACAACACCGAAGACGTTTGATTTACCGGATAAAAGATTTCAACATGTTCATATGGACATAGTAGGACCATTACCAACATCAAGATGATATACACGTATCCTGGCAGCCATCGATAGATTTACTCGATGGGCTATCGCATGCGCCCTAAACGATATATCTGCAGAAAATGTTGCTTTGGTTTTTCTCGACCATCGGGTGTCAAATCACAGAGTACCAACAAATATCACATCCGACCGAGGCGCTCAATTCCAATAGACGCTGTTTCGTAAAGTAACGAGACTTCACAGTGAACAAAAATGGAGAACGGGAGGATATTTCCATTGATGGAATCAAACCAGCCTACTCAGACAGCGACTTTGAAGCTAAATCGACAACCGCACAACTAAATAATCCGACAGTTGATTCCACTTCAACGGCACCAATTCTTTTCCACTACCCATATCAAACACGTAGTGGTTGGGAAATCAGTAAACTGCCTCTCTACGTTCATTTTGTGGACTGAAAAATATTACATTTTTTTCGTTTAGACATTATTATCGAGACAATTAATATTTCTTCGTACACTTTGATGTCACTATTACTATAAAGGATGACTATCACTATTATTTATTTATTTATATGTATCTCAGCTACAAAACAGGTACTGTGGTTTTCAGAAATGATCAATTTTCAATCCATTTAATTCTTTCACTCTCCTTAGTGATTGTATACATTGATACCTTGTTTATACATTGAAAATCTTTTTTCAAGGCTTCTGCAAAATGAAACCAACCACATTTAATTGACATGAACTTTTACTTCAACTTTTGTTCTTGAACTATTTGTAAATGCATTCAAACTTTGAACGATCCCAATGCCTTTGCGCGTACATGGGTGTTATTATGTATCCTTATCATTATCCTAAAAATGGTTATTACTATTTTCTATAGTTTGGTTTGTAAGGATTAGTTATGTATTACGGGTTGATCACGGACTGATATCAGTTAGGGTACCATTGAAACCCAGGGGTACTGGGCAGCTGCTGTTAGTGACTTTCTACAGGTTGGAGCTTCCTGGAGTTCTAGTGAGAATTCGTGACCAGTGAGGTCCAATTAGAAGTCACGTGTGTGGAGGGATGTCCCACCAACTACAATAGTTGGGGTCGCGCTAAAAGCACGAATTGGTAGAAGTTAGAATTCATGAGCCATTGAATCGGGTCCCAGTGGCTGAATGGTATACGAGCTTGCCTTGTAACCGGAAGGTCCTAGGCTCGAGTCCCAGTGGATGCGGACTGCCGATGATTCCCAAACTAGGATGAAACAGCAGCTGTCCAGTACTCCCTGGTTTTCAATGGTTCTCTAACTGATATCAGTTATTACTATTATTATTTACTTCACTAAATGTGAAAGTCTCTTGTAGTATCTCCGAAACTCTAGGGGGAAGGGGAGCCGTATGGAGTGCGTAACCATATGATTGCACACTTTTTGGTTAGATGTTGAAATCAGAGACAGTGTACATGTACATGACTTTTGTTTAAAACGATTCATGTTTAAATACAGATAACCTCCGAATACAATCTGAAATACAGTGTAATGTTGGTCGCTTCGCCTTCTCACTGGTCATTACTGTCTACTTGCTCCACTCAAGCCGTGTTGTATACTTTGGATTTATTACAGGAACCTATTATCCTTATCCAAGGACAACTCTACAACCCGTACACGGCTTCTACCCGTAGACACGATTCCAACAGTGAACGCTTCTGTGGATTATGTTAAGAATTTGTAGCAGTGGACTTTAACAGTATATCCAAATAACCTTTAAACTGAAATAAGTCATTACTGTATTTTCGATAACATATTGTTACACTATCATCTCATTGACTTGGACATTTATTCACATACTTGTTATGCTGTTGGTCTCGCTGGACAGTCCTCTATATATTGATATTTTGAGATCGAACATTTGTTAATTTTGATACCCTATTCCGTAAATGGAGATGGAATCCTTGCTTAATTATTCACCCAACTCTTGAACTCTCCACCATAATTTGAATAAATTAACTCTGTTTTTCTATTTTCTATATTTTCTTTAGTATGTCCTTGTTTCTGATACGAATTTGAATCAACCCTTTTGTCCAACTACTTTATATATCGTTACTCTGGTAACACTGGATATGTCGTCTTCGAACATCATCTTTGAAGGTATGTTACTTATACTTCTTATTTATAACTCGAAGTCATTCTAAATAGAATGTTCAGAAATTTTTTATCTTATAATCGTTTAATTTAATATGTGTGTAGTGGATGAGAATCCACGAAATAAAGTCAGCCTGCATGTACTATCCTGCAAATATTTTCGTTATTTCTTCATTCAAACTAATAAATGGAACAGGATGGATGAAAAATTGAAATGTTGGCTCTATCTGAGTGGATGAAGAAACCTTCTGCTTTCTCTGGCTTGGAGTTCTGAAGAGCTGCTTTCACACTATTTTCAGCAAAACACCCGATAGCTTTGAAGTACCACTCATAAATAGTGGAAATATCAAGAAATAAATCTCGCTTAGTCTGATCATTGTGTTAAGGCAGACAGTTGTTAGCAATTAGGAATCCAAAAGTGATATCGTTTAAGAAGTATTTAAAAAGTCATCTATCGAAGTGCACCAAGAGCGTGTTCTACGTCTGTGACTTACATCTACGATAGTCGAACTGTAGTATCATTCGGCAATGCATGAAAGTCAAAAGACTGCTTGTATTCAACTCACTGTGCACCTTTTGTGTCACATACTCCTGTTTCGGCGGTCGCATCTGACGTCAAAGGAGAGCTGTGTGGAAACATGTAACTAAATGTTTTCCATTCTCAGTGATGAGAAGTGAAAAGAGAACCACGGAATACTTCATTGGTGAACACCTTGTATGAAGTCGTTTTCGTCCTTTGATTAATCTTTCAGAAATCATCTGCACGGCTGAATTCAACCAATCTATACTTTTCGGAAATATTAAACTGACAATCATTGTCTGTGAATGCCATAGTCACCACCTCAAAAAATTTTGTATTATTCAGGATTACTCACACTACCACCACAAACACTGCATTAGACCTTGGTAGACTTTGGTACTTTTTCGCATTCATAATTATTTTGTGTTTATCCTGTTTTTTTGTTTTTGCTGCTGGTGTCTTCAGATTTATTTTTTTATTTGTTTAATACTTATTTTAAATGTCGGTAAAATTAGATGCAAATATTGTAGATATGTGCTGAAAATTCCACACTGTACCACTAGTACTGTTTCTGGAATAAAGCAAATTATTATTATTATTATTAAAAATCACCCAGGCATAGCTGAAGTTTGGTCATACATGAATCGAAAGCTGAAATATTTATCCAAAAGTGCTTTTTGTTAAAACCGGTCTGTCCATATTGGTTTTTATTCTGTTCTCAAGTTCAGTTCATCATTTCACTCTTCTTCCTCTTTGGTTATTATTACTATGGTTATAGTTCCAATTCGACCTGTGACGTGAAACATTTCTAGAATAGTACCACTACCTATCTTCTGCTTATTACACTCAGTAATTTTAATAATTTAACCTTTGACTGGGAATAACTCTGGAACTTTTCTACCTACCACCTACTATAAATACACGAATGTACAGTATAGTTGATCACTTCGTTGAGAAGAAAATTTTCTTCGCTGAATTGTCTTTCATTTTCTTTACGACAAAATGGGTATTTTCGATGGTTCCTTACTTTCTCTTGATTAAGAGTGACTTAACCAACATAAATTTTCAAGAAACATGTTTATGTACATGAACTGTAGGTATATTTGCTCCCTTTTCTGGAAAATATCCTACCTAGAGTTAATTTTTCACATATTCCATCCACATATCCATGAGATACCTTCCCATTTCTGACGACAACATAAACGTAAATGTAACGATAGAAGACAACGGCCAGGCAACAGATCGTTTATTTAGAAAATCAACAGATATTTATATGTTTTTATGTTCATTGTTATTCGTTATTATTAGCAGGGAAACAGCGTCTTCTGATTGGTCGTTTTCTCACTGGAAGTTATTCAGTCTGCTCTTTGTGGCCGTTTCCGTGAAGGTCAGACCAATTATCTGCTAATCGTATCCGCCAACGCAAAGTCTGCTGCTATCAGTTGTTGCGTTAGTCCTTGTTCTTTTCTCATGACTGAGATTTGGGACGTAAACAATGACGTAAATTCCTGTCTACTAATTTTGGCTAGGAGACACCTCTCACCACAATACTGCTACTGCTACTACTACTGAGCTCATCTGTAAGACATATATTCTTTTAAACCAACTGATGACCCAATAACTGTTGACAAACACTCGCAACGAATAGTTGTTCATTTGTTTAGTGGGTGGGTGTGTGTCCGTTATGAAGCTTAACCAAGTTAACTGTTTGAGGGTGTATTAGTTTATAAAACTTAGTTGGACAATTTGCTTTGCCTCAAATTCTTATCCAATCCTCTTTCAAATCTATCTTCCAATGTAATAGAAGACAGGTTGAATTTCTCAATGCTCATAATCGTAGATAACTGAGAACACTATAAAAATCAGATGACTAGTTTAACTGTCATTATAACAGACAGCGTCACCACATCATTTTGTAATGATGATTAGTGGTGTTCGGAGAGAAGAGTGAAAAGGTCTTAAAACAAAAAGCGAACACAAACAAAATCTAAATAATAATACTTTGATACACACGTTAATCCATGTGTCAGGGTAATAAATTTATCAGGAGCATAATTGGAATTATAGGCATAATTACTATATTTTCACATATTATTTCAGCTACTTTATGGATTACTTATTTACTGGGATGGCGTATCAATCGTAAATTGAAATATAGAACTAAAAATCAAAATTTAAATAATAATCATAATAATAATCGTCCCACTGAAAGACGACGAGAAGTGCAAGTAAATGAAAATGGAGTAAATGTCAGACAACCGAATAGAGATATTATATCTCAACAGAAGTTAGTATGGCCCGTCTGTTCATTGAGAATGTCAACACAACTGATTATATTTTCAATGGAAATCGCCTACATTTTAGGTTGTTGTACAGATTTGATGAGATTAATTTATCTTTCGATAACTGGTGATGATTTACGCTTATTGTTCAGTGAATGGTCCTGTAGAATACAAATATTTCTTTCATTTACAACTTGTGATCTATCTGGATGGCATTTTGTCTTTCTATGCATTGAACGTTGTTATATAACACTATTTCCTAGAAAATATTACAGTATGAGCCATTCATCGTTTGGACCAGCTTTATCGATGATTGTATTTGCTTATACAATTAGTGTTGCTACAAATATTTTCCTATTAATACCTACTCAACATGTTTGCTATGGATTCTACGACAGTCCTGCAGTGAATTCAGTAAAATTTCTATTCACCCTAATCATACCTGTATTGACTACAACAATATCCACTATAGTCATGACGAATGTTCTCGTCAAATGGAAATTGAAGAAAATGAAGTCAAGATCAACCGCACCCTCTCGTTTCAATAATTCAACCAGAATTAAGACTGTGGACAATCCATCTACCTCAAATAAAAGTAGGACAACTCGTGCTTCACTGACATCTGCCTCTTCAATTAAACAGAGGACTAATCAATTGATTGGCGCTGGGAAATTGATTGTTTATAATACATCAGCTAGGATAACTGTAGCAAAAATGATGTTAATCTGTGCACTCTTATACCTTTACACCTTATTATCGTTGTTTGTATTCGGTAGAGTATACAGCAGATACTGTTGTTTTCTAACGGCTAGTCAAAATTGTAATTGGAATGACTATCTCTTCAATTTACTGTCAATTCTGCATTGGACCACTTTATCAATTACTAGTTATGTTCTTATGTTCGGTGCTGTGACGATACGACAAGATATACACACTATACTGTTATTTGTATGGCTTAAATTTTTCAAAAAATCTCTGTAATTCATCAGGTTTCATGATTATTTCGATTGCATTTAGCGTATACATTTTTGACAACAACAGTCCACATATATATATGTCTGCGTTCACCATACTTGAATGTGAGCACCAAAGTGGCATTTTTTAAATACCTCCTCAATATGCATAAATAGGATTGTAGTATAGATTCTGTTCCATTATAATCTACTTACTTATTTGTTGTCATTATCAGTATGTCCTTTAACAAATTTACAAGTAGAATTACTTATTTTCATCTCATGTTTCGGTAAGTCTCAATGTACTAAGAGTTAGATGTCAAGATTTCATTTAGAAAGAGTGTTTATTACCTCAACTGTTGTATTTTTGGGAAGAGATTTATGTATTTACACTATAAATGCTAATCACCATTTATCTCCAATTGGATTTACTCCTCATATTTTCAGAAAGTGCCCCCCTAGATAAATCTCAAGTTTTGATTACTTTAATGTCTACTTCACTGTAAATATTTTATTCACAAACATCATTGAAAGTTTTATTAATAAAGATTGAACAATATTAGAAATATCTCTTATGTAACACTAATAAACGTCCTAAATTATTGAGTTAAGTTCAAGAATGAATGAATGAATGATTTAGTGTGAAAGTCAGTTACAGTAAGCAGTCTATACTCATACTGAGCGTTTATGGGGATTCAGCTGACTTCATTACATAGATTTTGCGACTCTTCAATAGCACTGAATCCTAAAGGAGATTGAGCCGAGGTACAAGGCAAGCACGTTTTTCATTTGAGTCAAATAACAGAAAACACGTTCAGCAGAGAGTTACTCTTTATGGCGATATCATTTTCAACCTGAACAACTGCACGTTTACAGAGTAAATTTTATCAGCAACAGAAGAGACATTTCAAAACATGTGTCATTGGAGCTGTGAATGTCAGGTAACAAATTACGTGTTTGAAGAGGTGTTAATCGGGTAGAAACTGAAATAAACTTTAGTGAATTCAGCAACGTAATACAGTAGACAAGAGTGAGTAGGATTCAACTAAAATTGAATGAGAGTCAAGTTGACAATAGTCGTAATAAGGGATAGAAATTTAAAAGAAGATGAGAGAAGAAGAAAAAAACAATTAGACAGGAAAAACATCAAAACTTACGTACCCAGTGTTAACATAGATTAGGTCCATTGTAGATTTAATGACTGAACAAACTTCTTTTGTACTCAGAGTTCAGATTTTAACGCGTGAATTGTGTCCATTATTTCTGCCGTTTGATTAATTTTAATTCTCAATAATTTGGTAATATTTTAATGACCCATCTCTGGAAATATTCCATCTGTTTCTGCGGAAATTGTGTATGTATATGTATGTTCATGCAATTGTTTGGCTTGAGAATGATATCGTTGGGATGAATAACTCCTCGCTCAATGTGACTTTTATTCAGCTCCTGGATTGGAGCAGAGTGACGCATGAATGTCGACTTCAGATGGGTTACCGTACAGCACTATTGCTATTCACGGCCATTTATGGGTGCCCGCTTCATATCCTGCTGGTCACAGTTTCCCACTAAAAATTTAGCACCTAGATCATGCAGCCGCCAAATAGCAAGGGAGTGATATTCAGCTTCTGGATATGTAAGGATCCCAGACTTCTTGAGATAACGGCCAAATACTGTTGACTACCCTTAATTAGAACGAAAGAGTAAACCAGCACCCTTCCGATCTTCAGAGGTTATCGAACTGATGTCGATCCAGAACACAACTTACACTGAATAATTCTATGAGTTTGTGCTGTTGAATTACCTTCTGAGACTTATGAACTATGATGTCTCAGATCGATTGAAAGTGTTGCACCATTTCGCTGACCACTTATTAAATATCTGTCATATGTGAGAAGCCTGCAACTACAACTTTCATTTACATCAGAAACTGAAATTGACAGTCTGACATTTGGAAGGATTAAGTTTAAGGCCGTCAGACGAAGACCATCCGATAATTCCTGATAGAAAGCTGTTCATCTTATTACAGTCTACCTGGGAGTCAACATATATTGAAATAGTTAGATCAACGGCATACTTAACAAAGTTCATTTCATCGGAGTGAGGCAAGTCATGCAAGAAGAAAGAAAACAGATAAAGAGAAAGAACAGCGCCTTGAGGGACACCAGCCGCAGTAAGCAACGAAGTGGACGACTTTCCCTGACATATAGTGTACTGCTTTCTTCCTGAGAAATAAGAATGCAGCCATTTGACAACCCAACAGTCAGTTTGAGATTCAGCAAGCTTGTTTAACAAAATGTCTCTAGGTACTGAGTCGAAAGCAGATGTGTAATCTAGGAAAGTGGAGCGAACAAATTTAGCCCCCTTGTCTAAGCTGGAGACAATGTTATGATACAGGACTGCAACTGTATCTAGAGTACTTCTACTGTGTTTATAGGTGAATTGTTTGGGATCGTTAAAGGCTTTAAGTGAAGGTTGAAGATTAATTAAGTGTAACTTTTCCATAGCTTTTCGAAAAGGGGAAGTAATAGCAATGGGTCTAAGTTTAAAACATGTTCCAGTAGACGACTTAGGAATAGGTACAATTTTAATGTCCTTCCAAACGGCTGGCACGACATTATTGGAGAACGATTCTTTAAATATGTCCATGAGAGGATAACACAGGATATCTGCACACTTTTTAAGAATAAGGCCAGGCAAACCGTCTGGTCCCAGGCTACAAGAAGGATTCAGAGACTGGAGACATTTTAGAACGTCATTTGTATTAAAACCAGGGAAGCAGGTTTCATAAACACTTGTAACACTAGAAAGTTTGGCATTTGTGGGAGAATGTATAAAAGACTTGTTTAGTGTGCAAACATCAAGGGAATAAGGAATACTGTTCATCTGCTTACCACCAGTAATTTCTTTGAAAAGTTTCCATATGTTAGACGCATTTTTACAAGATATGAACTTTCGGTTGTAAATTGAATTCAACCTGTGCATTTCGGACTTTATAAGGATGTTAATTCTTTTCAAACCAGTGTTATCCTTCATTTTGTATAACTTTTCTTTTTGTTTGCGAAGCTTTTTAAGTTGAGGGGAGGAGAAACGGTCAAATCTGATGAAGAGCGTTTCTCTGGGACAACAGGTGTCAAGACAAAATTTGAGATAACTTGTATTATTGGAGATTGTGTCATCAAGAGAGTCTTCTTTAAACAGGTCCCACCTTGTGTCTCTGAGCATGCCTCTGAGTTTCTGAACATTCTCCATAGAGTAACATCCATGTACAGCTTTATTGGAAAGGTGTGTGTGTAACTTTCCATAAAATTTAGGTAAAACGCGTACAATACAATGATCTGAGTTAAATAGTGGAGCTCTTTTACGAGCATCATATATTCTGCAGTCATTTATAAATACAAGATCAAGGGAGTTATCCAGTCTGGTGGGAAAGTTAACAACATTTTCATGACCTAGCACTGTGAGAAAGCTGCAGCCACATGAATTATAGTCACCTGTCACTATGGACAGGGAGTTATCAAAAAAGGCGGTGCGAAAATAGTGAATTCATCAGCAAACATAGATAATTCTGAAGTGCTATAACAAGGTGTGATTTAAATATTCGTGATATAAATGAATTTGTATTTAGATAGGTGTTTAGGTCGACATTTGACAGTTATACAGTCATTATTATCATTTGAGAATTTAAAACAGACGTTGCTGGCAACAGACCACTGAGAATTGATGAAGGTAGCAACACCATCACCTCGCTTCTTCCTTGAACTACTTCGGTCTTGTCTGTACATATTGAAACCATTCAGTAAGATTAAATTGTCATCATATGAGTCGTGCAGCCAAGTTTCTTGAAGCGTTATTACACCTGTATTACGGTAAATATTTGAACATAATAGAGCATCTAAGTAATTAATCTTGTTCGATAATGACCTGCAATTAGTGCTCATAATCACAGGAACAGTCATCTGATGCATTGGAGTACACTTTAAGGATCTTTGCCACCCACCATGATGCTTTTTCTTAAGGTTATTATATACTCGTAAATCATCCGGTTGAAAACATTTTAAATAATCGCGAAGGTAAGTAATACAATTTGGACATAAAATTGAATAATTAAAACAAAATAAATCCAAGTAATCAGATGCAAAATAAGTGACGTAAATTTTGGTAGCCCAAGGTTTAAGCAGGCAGCTGACCACTTATTAAATATCTTTCATATGTAAGAAACCTACAGCTCATCTGCGAATTTTCCAATTCAAAAAATTTCAGCACAGAAAAGCCAACACAATACACAGTGTAACGTGATACCATCTTGTTTATTAATTAGCTTGAACTATATGCATTCGAAAAAATTCTTTGAATAGCATATACATTGGACATTCAAATAATTTAAATACTTGGCTTCTAGGGATAAAGGCATTAACATCATGTCATAGTGATCGGAAAGTTGAATGGATAGAGTGACAAAGTATGTCACAAATGATTGTTCAAAGATGTATCGTCAAATATTTGTTAATATTTCAGAGTTATAAAATAAAGCTGGGCAGTATGTGGAGAAATATATTTCCCAAACTTTGTCATTTTTCATATGAACCAATAGAAAGTGATCTTTATTTTTTGAGGAGGTCAAGTTACAGTTTAGGTGCCAGTTAGTACCGACGGACTAGTGGGTTTGAAACGCTGAGGGAGCATGTCAGTGGAACCTGGTAAATAATATTCTAATCATGAATAGAATAAACTTACGAAGTGTAACGTCACTGAATGGGATATCCGGGAAGTTCTAGGTTAGGTTTGAGAAAGATATCGTTAAGGTTTAGACTAAAGACGGGTTAGGGTTAGGCTAATGTAATGAGAGCTACATAAGGGTTGGTTCGATTTAGATTAGGAATATTTTCACGTTAGGGTTAGGTTAAGGAAAGATTGGGATTGTTGTTAGGATTAGAAGACTGGGTAAGGACATGCACAGAATGTGGCTAAATTACTTTGTGCGTCGGTAGCACAGTGGTTAGGACTCCCGCCGACCATGCACACGGTCCGGGGCTCGATTGCCTGCCGACGCACACCCGATATCTATGGTCGGCCTGTAAAATTTGGGCTACCGATATCCATGCTGAAAATTCCATACTTCTACCAAAAGTACTGTGTGGAATCAAGCTGTAAACAAAAATAATAAAAAAATAAAATAAATAAAAATTGTTGATACTCCAGTCCAGAAAGGAGAGCTAATTTTGTCACATGTCAGAGAAGAGTATCCTGTGTGACAGGTTTATGCCTTTTAATTCACTATTTTCAAGACTGTATGCAATTTATGCGCAGAAATCGACTTCGTCATGTGGTTGGTGCGTTCAAGATCATTTGTCCGTGTGTACATACTGAACCTACAAAGTTTAACTTCGCCGTTTGGGAATTATGTGTCTGGTGTGGTAAAACGAGATCCGGAGATGCAAGAATGAAATTAGTTGAAAACGTCAAAGCAACTAAATCATATGGAAGGTTTACTGATTCACTTGAGAGACATTCTGAGTTAATTCAGTATATTTGACATTCAGATATGAAGCGTGTTTC